GCAGTTTCGATTACCGGGAAGTAGGAGAGCATGGGAGGTATAGCCAAGCATTGGAGACGATGGCAGGTTCGGTTAGTTCGGGAAATTGTAGCTACGAATCGAAGGCGATAGATTCGATGCTCCAGCGCCACTAATTGTGCGATAAGACCAATTCTACCAGTGTAATTAAACATGGGCGAAATTACTCCCGGGGTTATCATCGAGGAATTCGGCAGTTATTTTCGTTACTAATTAGACAATTTTTCTCATTTCAGTTAGTGGGTGCGTGGTGTGAATCCTTCCCGACGCTTTTCCACTTTCTTCTAGAACATTACTCCCGGGGTTATCATCGAGGAATTCGGCAGTTGATTTCGTTACTAATTAGACAATTTTTCTCATTTCAGTTAGTGGGTGCGTGGTGTGAATCCTTCCCGACGCTTTTCCACTTTCCTTCTAGAACCCAGTTTGAAGCACTATTGCACATTTATTTACGGGAGTCGTCATGCTGGCAGGCATACTGCCCCGCGCCGAAATCTTGAAGTGCAGTAATACACCCTTTTTTCACTTGACCCTTTCAGGTAAACGACACCCACTGACCGACAAGAAAAAATCCCCCGGGAATCTTGGGCAAAATCCTCTATCCTGTGTATCAATCCGTGAATCCGTGCTCTAACGTATGCTCGTGATCACGAAATCCAAATACTTACTATCTGTGACGACTTCCTTGACTTTACTGGATGCTTTCTGCAACCATAAATGCTTCATATCTACGTAAGGCCTGGTGTTCGCACAATGGAATTGACTTTTCGAAATATATAACGAAACATGTTGAATCTTTGCGTATGTGTTCAATTAGAAAGCCATCCTAATCCACTTTTATATTTTCGCTTCATTTGCATTTGCATCTGCATTGAAGAAATCATACCTCTGGCGGCAGTCTGTTGAAATAATTTCCCGGCATCGCTGAGACCACGGGATGCCAAAATGGGGCTTCGCAGTTTGCACTGGTACTTACAACTCAGTTGTGCGATCGCTTTATCCCTTCAGGAACATCCATCCATCCCATCGTCATAGCTTTCGAAATTTCAATTCTATTGTGCGAATACTGAGTGTCATCTTGTTCCCGTCAAAACGAAATCACGCGGCGGCAAGGTGTTGTCATAGGCACAAAATAGCTACATAACGATGCTAGCGCTACATGAAATGTGGAAACATGTTCAATGGCTTCGCCGACGGGTTTGTATCTTCCGAGTAGTTCTTTCAATGCATCAAGGTCGTTTCCTGTCCGGAAGGTGGTAGTTCAAGGTTCTTCTGGGTCCCCCAAGGTTGGTCCTATCCTTCGGTCGATTGCTGTTGTTTTCTGTGAAACATTGTCAGTCGTTTTAAACTTTGCATCTACGCTGTCTGTGCGCTGTTATACTCCTAACTCATCAACTTTTGCAAGCTCTTGGGGGCCGTCTTACCGTCTGATATACCCTCGGGTTCACCACCAAGTGGTCCCATATTCTGGGCTTTTCAAGTCGTCAGCCCCCAACGGAGTACGCTAAACTTGAATGTCGCTATTACCACAAACTTTTGGCTCGTCATTTTTTTTACCTGTGAGGAGTTAATGAAAGGCTCCGTAGGATTTTAATAGTGAATAGAACGTTAATTTGGTTTGTATGCTCTGCGACAGCGTTTTTAAGTGTTTGTTCCAGTCGCCCGGCCTCTGTGTAGGGTGTAACGTTTTTTAAATATGATTCCCGGTGACTTACACGGTCTAACATGCATGTAATGAGAGTGTTGTTGACACAGGTCAGCGATACCTTCCGCGCCATTCGGCGAGTATACAGTCGGAAATGAGGTATTTATCGTGCAGTTCCGATTTGCATGTGACGAGCTAACAAGAAATTGCCTACGAGGATGTGGTAATAGCATCAGCCGCTAAATTTGAGACCATAGGAGTTTGCTAGATCCACTTTTTATAGTTGAATGTTCCTGCCAACGGGAAACCCGTGCAGGATGTATTATATATGCGCAGCATGTACGACATTCACCCAGTACCGCGTATGTGCTGTGGGGTTAGTGTATTCTCATCCTCGCCCTTGTGACCATTTCTTAGGAAGTTGCAATTAAAATAATCGTTCAGCAGTAGCACCTGGGTGTTATCTGCCATCCCATCTGAGGGAGGTGCGAGGACGGATTACTGCCATGTTGTCCAAGCAGCAGCGGAAGACGGGCCGAGGAGTTATATCTCTCGGTCACCCCATTCCCAGCTTAACCACTGAGCTATCTTCCTGTTTATCGAGGATGATAGCCGTCCAACAACTCTGACAGCAGTGGCAGTAGTTTTCCGAGGATAGCTATGACGTAACAGATTGGCTATAAAGCGATATTAGCAACACCTACTACCGCACCTACTAGATTCACGAATTGATACACAGGATTGAGGCTTTCGTTCAAGGTTACCGGGTCGGGTTCGTTTTTGTCGTTCAGTGGCTGCCGTTCACGTGAAAGAAGTGAAATAAGGGTCTAGCGCTGCTGTTCTCTGAGCATGGTGATACTGCAGTGGTTAACGGCCCTAAGAGATTACTAAATTAAGTCGGATGCAGTTTCACAAGGAGAAAAACCCAAGTTAATCTTGACTCAATTGCAATAGGAAATTCCGTATTCCGTTTAACCACCACACCAAGAAGAGAGAGCTCTACCTTCCTCGTATTTCAAATCTGCGTTGATCGCATTATTGATCCACAGGTGTGAATAGATGTGTCCAATGTTTGTAGTTAAAATTTTTGTTCACGTAGCAGGCAGTTATAACCAGCCGGTAGTCACAACAGTCACTCAGCAAAAGTCCCAGTCACGTTGAACCCAAGAAGCGGACCGTTGTGATTGTGTTTCGGTAGAACAAACTTTGGTACAGTAATGATGCCGATATTGATAGGGAGAAGAAAGATATACTGGGCATAAAAATGGCAGTTTACAAGTAGTACAGCAAGCTTGCCAGGGCGAGACGTCGCGTAGAAAAGTAACTAATAATGCCTTTAACTGGTTTCCAGATGTAGCGTGGACAACCGTCGGAGGAAGATTATTGCACGTATCAACTACTTGAAATGAGAAGAACTGCCTAATAGATGTGTGAGCTCTAAGCTTAAAAATCTTACCACGCCCCCGCCGTGTTTGCTGGGTCAGCGGTGAAAAACCCGTTTGCCAAACCTTGTTCGGGCGACATAATTAAGTATTAGTTCTTGGAGGCGACGAGACCCTAGGTGGTCAAACACCGCGAGGCGCCTTTCGTAATCCACAGATTTGAGACCGGCAACCATTTTCGTAGCAGCTCGTGAAGGTTGCGTCCTGATTAGACAGTTTGGTTTGCTTATTCAAGAAGTGGCCTGACGTGGGCCCATAGTATTTGGAAGCCCACGCGAGTAATTAGGGAGATGCGCCGAATCTTCCGTAGAACTGTGAATGACTGTTAGACCGATTTCTCGTGGTGCACCACCATGAGACACTCACTATGCACGACAAAGGTGTTCGCTTAGTCCCCTCCGGGTGATATGTGGACGGTGCAAGTCCAACGATCACTGCTTTCCAGCGTCCACATCCATTTGTGGGGGGGGGGGGGTGCTGGCGTTTGAACTCCAGGATTTCAAGTCGTCTACAAAATGTAGACATGGATTTGACGTAGATCAGAAACAGGAGTGTTCCCAAAACAGCCTTGAGGGAGCCCAATGGAAACTGGCGCCGGTGATGAGTAGATCGAGCCTACTTTCACTCGGAACACTACGGACTGGACGACGGTATAGGTCAGGTAAGAATTTTGTGTCAGTAGTTCTGATGCGGGACTTCGTATTAGGCGACGCTCATTGTTGCTCGACTCAGTCACAGCTTATGATATGACCGCAATATATGGTGAATTTCCGAGGAAGAACGCGAGACATTCCTGGAATGAATCTGCATTTAACAGCCAGCTTTGTGAGTGAAAAAAAACGGTAGCGTGGAATGACCGACAAACAGCGGTCAGGGTACACGTTAGAAACAATGCAGTGAGTCGTTGGCAAATGTATGCAAGCACGCGCTACATACCGCTCCGATAAATCCGTCGCGAGTGTGCGCTTCACGGCCGCTTGCAAGCTAGTAAACGCCCATTAACACTTGAAATGATTTCCAAAACAATCTGGCAGAGCGCTTGGTGATCTCTGCGAACTAAAGCCTTCTCTCTTGGAGGACCACATATTGGTACTCGATCAAGGGGTGTTCCCTAAGCTTCCGAGGCAAAAGGTCATGTGCTTCTGAAAGGTAAATCTGAACGATGGAGTGTAGCAGTACCCGTCAATCTGGTGGCGTTAAGCGAAGATGTTCCCACTCAGCAATAACGGAAATAATCACTCAAAGGGCCCTCGGGGGCGAGATGGACCAAGTGGTTAGAGCGCGAATTTACTGATAGGAAGGTCCGTGGTTCGAACCCGACTCCTCCCTCTCCATTCCTCTGTCTAGGCTTGGGCAACCTGGCAGTATCTCAGCCCTCGTGCTTCCTCCTGGTGGCATGGCAGCTAGGCACCGAGAGGGTACTACAGCTGAACGATTTTTGTGTTATTTAGAGCTCTGAGGGACAACTAAGGTAAGTTGTTGAAGCCGCAGTTCAATAGTCTCACTGTTGTAAATGCTGAAGTTCCAAACCCTGTGCCCTAAATAGCTTACCTGTCCCGTCTGAGCGAGGTGCGAGAAACCCATCTAGACCATTTTCCCACCAGTCCACTGTGAGGACGTAGATAATCCATTGGCAAAAATGAAGCACGTTGAGTATTTCGAATGGTGGTTTACCATCAGTATCCACTACTAGTGTATTGCTTCCTGTGAGATCTAGTGATATGCCTCTTGACATCACAGATATCGCGAATCGGTATACATAATTCATGCCTTTTTGGTTCATGGACTGGTTTCATCAGACATTTTCGCCAGAGCTAGTACCAATTCCGAGGAATGCAGAGTTCTCCACAACGCCCAGTGCCTCTTGAAGTGCAAATGTTCAGAAAATGCACGTTCTAACCATGACTGCGCTTTGAAGGTGCGCTGCGCGTACCGAAGGGTGGTATGATGTTGGTCAGTTCATTCAACAACACCTGTTCTTCAACGCTTGTCTTCAATGGTACGGTGTCGTCTGCGTACACCAGGTCGACAAGTTTCTCACCAGCAACGATTTGAACACAGTGCTTGAAGACAGCGTTCACCTCAGTATTTCATCGATCGCGAAGTTGAGCAAGAGTTGACAGTGGACAATTTTGCGGGCTCCACCTATGGGAAGGCTTTCAAAGAGTTAACCGTACGTGCTGACTCATTTCGGTGAACATATCCGAGATATCGGGGTTTTATGCCTAGTATATGGAGCCGACTTTCAACTCAGTGGCCGCTCTTCCGAAGTAGTACGGATGTTTGCATAGGATTGGAGCTGACCGACGCTTAATGTGCATAGACTCGTCATTTCCTCGTCATCACATAGCGAAGCATTCTTTGATTGGTCTTTTTTTTCAGGTGACATTTGGAACTGGTTTGTGCAGCTTCGCATCTCATTACAACCATATTTGAGTATACAAATCACTAATGGTCTCCACAGCCCCCGAAGGCCCAAAGAGGCGGCGCAATCGGCCGTCGAGAAGAGCTTTGGATATACTCCGTAGGGCGCGAGAAACAGCGGCGGCAGCCGCTCAGGCCGCCGCGGAGGCAGCTGAACTTATTGCCCGTAGCAGGGGTAGGCGACGGCGACCCCCATTTTACGCACGCCATGATGCGCCACAGTCTTCAGCGAGTAAGTCGACTATCGTGTTACGGCGTGTTGAATAACCTTTCCACTTTCTGGTTTCAACTGCGTCGTTCCTTCTTAAGGCTCTTTCTAGTGATCACCCGAAGGACTTGTTTTTCTGGCAGTCTTTTGGGGGAATTTCCTGACCTATTTTCAATTAATTCCCCTCGTTAAATCCGGCCAGTTTATCAACTCGGTTGGATTGGTTGCATTCTCGTTGCATACCAGTCTAGAATGCTCTTAAGGAATTGACAGTAAGCAATAGAGCACAGAGTAAATCACTTCCCGTGAGGCTTCCTGTAACGTGACTTGTAACGATATATTACGTGCCCGGGGCTGTCGGCCATCCCGACTGAGTGTACAGTTTACAGTGCCGTAGCCGGACCATTTTGCTGAAACCTTTGCGATATTAATAGAAAATTCAGTGACCTGTGCTTCCCAGGCTTTTTAGGATCAACTTTCAGTATGTCTTAAGGTTCTAGCAGTTCCGGTTTACCTCAGTTTTATGACCGTTTTACTAGTCCGCGATACATGGGGTTACTGGACGTATTTGCATGTACTGTGCGCTCCACAGGATGAAGCAGTGTTGTTTTCTGTGCATGCTATGGCGCTTGTTTCAATTGGACCAAATGTTTTTAATGTGTCTTTCTTTTGCATCAGTGCACCAGCCGCCGCGTTCCGCGCCCGCGGACAGTGGGCATACCTCTGTCGGTCCCAACTTTAGGGAAATGGAAGAGGGTGCGAATGATGGATCCAATGCAGATGGGGTTAAGCGCCGTAGACCACCCGGATACTGGGCTAGAAGGCGAAAATATAGAAGAGAGCGACGCGCCGCTGAGGCTGCTGCTGCCGCTGCTGAGTCGGATGAGTTTTATTATGGTTAGTTCCAGTCGAACGTTTTTTATTTATCCCATCGTTATTGGCATTTGGTTGAAGGCATTTTATCTTTTTGCAGGCCCTCATGGGATGCACATGGATCCTTTCGCTTACCCGGCGGAATTTTACCCTGACGATTACCCACCACCGGAATGCGAAGGTTACATATGGCCAGAAACTCGAGGTGGTTATCCGCCTCCGTTGGGCCCATCATTCGAAGTGTACCCAGGTGACAGGATGCAGTCCCATGTGGGTCGCCGTGCTGGTCGTGCTCGCAATAGTGAGTACTTGGCACAGGCACGCGCTTTGATCAGAGCTCAAAACGCGGGACTACGAACGCACCAAGACACAAGGCGTTATTCGGCCCCTTTAGTACCTCCGGAAGCATGGGGTCCACCAACCCACCCATACGACGCCAGATGGTAAACGACGGGTCGCCGCTTAGCGCTCGCGGGCTTAGCAATCGAGGCACCTTTAGCTCCATTAATGGTTTCCTTGCTCATGGTCTAGCGGTGACTTCCCGTCGCATCCATGCCCAATCACCTGTACATGCTTCATATCTTCGTGTTGTTGCGGCGGCTCGTTTCTCGCTGAGTGGACCGCGTACTTGCTCTCGTTTGTCGTCAATCGGACATAAAGTGTTATTAAGTTGCACTTGTTTTGCCATCCTGCTCCATCAGTTGTTCTGTGAACGCGGCGTAATCCTGGCGTCTGTTGGTTGGCCGGGTTGCGAAAGTCCATTCACCCGAATGAAGCCGACCTAGCTATAACTGCTAGGCTTGATAGCGTTGTACAATTATGGCAGCGAATTCAGCAAGTTACACTTAAATGAACTCGCAAAATGGAGTGAATCTACTCCGTTTGCCTCATGGTGAAACGAGCTGCACTCACTCAACGCTTAGTTGGCAGTGTGAGGCCCAATTTGTCTCCGGTATTCTGTGGACAAATCCTGGATGGTTTTCAACAGGCCAACCAACCTTTCAATTTATCATTGTTAATCATTGCTTACCCGCCCGATAAGTTTTTGTGGGTGTGGGCTCTTGTCTGTTTGCCTTTGTTTCGTGCTTACCCGCCCGATAAGTTTTTGTGGGTGTGGGGCTCTTGTCTGTTTGCCTACCTTTGTTTCGATGTTTCCTCCCTGAGCAAATGTCGAAGAGCCGTTGGCTTTGCTTTCGATCTGGGGAGGAATTCTTTGCCAACACACTGGGAATGTTCAGCAACACTAGCGGCGCTTACCGCACTTTGGTTGACAGAAGTAGAACATAGGCCTTGCAGGTGGCTTTGTGGATTTTTCCGGGTGAGGCCTTTGAAGTAGCAGCGGTAGAGTTTGTGACTCGATGACTACAGTCGACTGTTCGGAATCAGATTCCATGACGTAAGTATTTTAAGAAAATAACTTGTCTACACACGGACAATAGCCATTCCTCCATGTATTCGGATCGCTTTTGTGTCTGGTTAGCCGTGTGACTCGAGTTTGCAATCAGTGCATATGCATCCCAAATGTTGCCCAGTTTTCGAGAATGAAGCGCATCTGGGGCCTTCAAGTGTTCATGATTGTTTCGTGACAGTGTTTCAACTCGATGCTTCCGTAACTGCTAGGCGCCGCAATGGTGTCGGCCCATGTGACCTACGAAATGAAGCCAATTTGTGGGGTTAAAAAGACTCAGATCATCAGAGTCGAAGCGGTAGCACTTCTTTCGAGATGAGTGGTTAGATTAGAGCTCGAATTTACTGACTGGAAGGTCCGCGGTTCGAGCCCGACCTCTGCCTCTCGACTTCCCCTGTCTAGGCTTGGGCAACTTGGCAGTATCCCAGCCCTCGTGCCTCCTTGGTGCGGCATGGCAGCTAGGCACCGAAGGGGTGCTACAGCTGAACGATTTAGTCTATTTTTATTACTTCTTTCAAGGATTATGGAGGCCGAACTTGGTGTGTCGACTGTGTTCACTTTGCCCGTGAATTCGGTCCGTAAAGCATCGTCCCGAAGGCAAATATGGCTTCCAGGACAATGCGCGCTTAGTTTGGGTGATACGAATGGCTGGAGCGTGTCCACCTCTTAGGACCGTATTCCTTGGTGCCTGTCGACCCTGCGGCTTGTTCACTGTTTCTAAAGTGCCAAGTTTATCCCGTCGTCTTTGAGGGAAGGAATGCGGCAGTAGACCTTGCGGGTGATGAGGATGTCTTATAAAGCAGCTTTTCGCGGTGTTGAGTTCATGTCTAAGGGCGTAATACAAGACCTAGTAAGAGAGGAAAGACGGTTTCTTCAAGCTCCGATGAATGCATTTGGTTTATGCAGATGGCTTCACAGCTAGCGATGTTTGCCTCTAAACCTGTAAATATCCACAGAAACGGTCCATTCAGTCCTCCAAGCGAATGCGCACGCTGTCTACAGAATAACTTTCTAAATGGCTTAGAAGGCAGTTTTCATAGAATGAGGGCAGAAGTGATCTCGTCGATGAGCTGTCGGCCTTTCGTGCACATTTATGAATTGCCGTTTCTGTTTTCCAGAAATAAGAAAAATGACTTGGTGTTCAACAGGGAGTTTCATGTCAGCATGGCTTTTTAATTTTGTGGGCCACTCCATTTCGTAAAATCTCAGTGCCTGTTAACTCTTACAGTGGGGCCCAGGAATTGTAGCATTTCTTATGTAAGCACATCCTGCTAGGCCCTGAGACCATACTCTGCATATCTGACGTAGCCAGCCTGACCACTTCTAGCCATTAAGCTGATACACCATCCACGCGGGCGACGTACATCAGTGGGACAGCTTATGAAGATCTTGCATGGCAGCTGGTCCTCATTTTGACTGCTGCTAGTCTTCGATTGCTATAGATAACCGGTCTGCAATCCAATCACGCTTTGGTCTTGTGTCATGGTTCAGCTCGGTGAAGTGTCGTGACAGGTCGACTAAACATCTTGTGGAAGCTTCACTCAGTCGGCTTAATCAACTGTCTGATTAGTTTGTTTACTGTTGGTCGATTTCCGACACACATTGTCTGTGCTGAATTAACCGGTGACACGAGCCCGATACAACTCAGTGATGAAGGTGCGAATTGGCCGGTCCGTGGTTTTTACCCAGCCTCGGCATCTCGACTGCTGTTTCCTAGGCTTAGTTAGCCTGATAGTGGTCTGGTAACCTTCGCACTTCGTTCGGCTGGCATGACAGCTAGACACTGAACTAGTGTTACAGTTGAACAACTGCTTACCGTTGATCTGTGTGCTTGTGCACACTGGCAAGACATCCTTCTATACGTAATCAGGCATGTGAGGTAGGTTTGTGCACACGTAGTTTGGCTTCACAGCTGTATACTCCACCCGGTTGTCCTCGGGGAGGTGGATGCTCTGTACGCGATCTCCAGTTTCCGCGCCAGCACATTTTGATTGCTAGGTTTGAGTATCGAACGTCCCCGTCTGACAGAAGTGGTGCATCACTCGACCAAATGCTGGCGTAAGAATCGTGCCTCTAGTATTGATGCCTTCAAGCTTGTTGCATGAATACGGGCCTCGAACCGTTCCTCAGGGAATAAATAATTTGAATATTGTCAACGGTTCGCCTTATCAGTTTCATCCAAGCGGTCGCGTATCATCCTTCATTTGAATTGGAGACTGACCGGCATGGCTGATGTGCTGATTAGATACCACAAGCTGGGCATCGATGAGCGGTTTCTAGATTCTCATCCTCTTGATCAGTCTATGAGCGCCCCAATCAAGCACCTCTCAAGACTCATGCCGGTTGTAGGTCCCAAAGATGTCAAGCTATCGGTGTAGAATTTCCGGGTTTTCCGCATGTATGGCTTTACTTCAGGGTGCTAGTATTAACCCAGCCTATACGATGTATGGATATGTACTGGTTGTTTGCTGAGGCTGTACCTGCAGGCGCTCATTAGTTCATTCACGTTTTGGATCGATAGGGGAGCTGACACCTATAGCTCCTGCAGCCTTATAGTAAGGGTTCGTTGTGTTCCGTGCTCGCTTTTTGGCGCTTGGCTGTTCCCACAGCTACCGCGGGAGAATCGTTTGACGATCCACCCTCGGGTTGCATATGGTATTAGACACCAATACCCTATAGTTCTCTCGGGATTGTTTGGTACTTGGCACGGCTACATGATCTCAATTGATGATACATGCAGATGCGGGTCGCATTTCTATAATATCAGCTACCCATTACCTGTTTTGAATCAACGATGGCTTCGTGGATCGCCCATACTTGACTACGTTGAGGCTACGTGGTCTCCTTATGCCATCATCATACCAAATAGAAGCTTAACAGGGGGGCCTGAAGGCCATAGTCAGCAAACCTGTGGCCTCAGCAACCTCTTCTCTCACTCACCCCGAAGTGGCACACATGAATAGTGGGTCACTGAAAGTCCTAGTCACCCTTGGTGGTGGTTACGCACTCGGGGCAGCGCCTACCCATTGCTGACTCCAACACTCAGAGCATCCTCATGGCAAAATTGTGGTCGCTTCATTTACAAGTCGGTTCCCACTTGTCGTCTGCTGGGTGTGGCTCCAATTCCTATCCCTGATTTCATTGGCGAATGAAGTAGTCGGTCGGGACAACGCACCACCTGTCTGATGGTCCTCGTATGTCCAAATGAGGATCCAATCAATGTTCTCCAAACTAGTGCTTGGTAGTAACTACCGCTGTCATATGTCTGCTGATCGAATCAGTGCCTCTGACCCATCCGTTCTAGCCAGTAGGCTGGGGTTGAACTCGAGATAGCTCAGTGGTTAAGGCACCAGCTTGCGGAACGGAAGGTCCGTGGTTCGAACCCGACCTCAGCATCTCGACTTCTCCTGTCTTAGCTTGGGCAACCTGGAAGTATCCCAGTCCTAGTGCCTCCTAGGGTTGATATTGTCATGTGTGGAGCATTTTTTCACTAAGCAGTTGAGCCGAAACACGAATTTTTGTGCTTCTGATCTTATCAGCTGCTGCACCTGTAGGGAGGTCTGTCGCTATCAAACTGTTGTGCGTACCAGTTTCGATTGGCACACTGACCTTTTGGCAGCCACAGTATGCCTGACTGGATGAAGCAGGCAATTGTAGGAGCGAAGCTGTCGGCCACCACCGTCTAACGTCTGAGATCTGCTGCCTTGGCGCGTAACCGTCCAACTTGTACCACACGAGAAAACCATCGTGGGTTGTCATCCCTACTTTCCGTTTGTAAATAAATTCAGCCTCATTCTGGTCACCGCTTATGGTTGAACATTTGATCCCAGCGTCTCAGCAGCGGATTACCGGTTCGCCTTCAACACTCACGAAAGTTTCATGAGAGGCAAGCTATTGACTGCGGTGTCTGGTCACGGTAGCGATGGACCTTGCTCCATCCCCGTGACAGTTAGCCGACAAACGGGGAGGAATGGATGCATTTGAACCAGTACCACCCAGTTTTATAGATCCGAAGGAGAGATTGCACAGTGACTAGACAAACGTCATCAAGGCCTTGGGTCTAGATGCGTCGTTTGATTCCGGACTGCTTTAACCCATCCGTCGGTTTCGGAAGATGGAAGGCAGTTTCACGCTCATTCTCGGTCTTTTGAGCTGTCGCTTCCTGTGTTTGTTAGTTGATGTTTTTGTTTGAAGACAATATATTTTATCTACATCCTTTTTTATATCTCCGATCGGGGTTCGCAAATGAATTACTTTGGACTTCTGTGCAGTTCTTATTTACTAAATGGGTAAGCAGCTACCACGAGAATCTCAGTATCCTTGTGCGGCGTGCTGTTGCAGTCGGTCGACGACAGCTGTTGCGCAGTCAACACCTTAGTGAGGGCTTATATCCAGGCTTGCGGTTACCTTATTAAAATTCGGCTTCTGCGTAGTCTCATTGTCGGCGCACTAAGGGTGCCACTTCGACTGGCCGTAAACGTTTGCAGCCTAACTGTGCAGGTCGGCGGACAGACCGAGGGTCGTAATTCTAGTAGGTAATCTACGGTCGGTAACCCGTAGCACGTGTTCATCGGACCTCCACAGTACTCTCCGATTATGGAAGCCGAGTGGAGCTATGAGGATATCTGTTAAAGGCCGTTTGTTCCTACAGGAAACATTTTGTCAACGGGCGTGTGTATCCTACCATATTTAGTTGGGATGTTTAAAGTATGAAATGCGTCACCCACGCTGAAAGCCACTGTTAAGTCGACTAATGAAGTGCGGAGTGTTCAAGAAATCTACCTTGGGATCAGCGCTTTCCTTGTTGTAGCTATCCGTACTGTAGATAAGATGGCCACACAAGCCTTAAAACTGACTGAATGGTCTTGTAGAGGCTATTTGTGGTAGTTACCTTATGGCATCACTTATGGAGAGAATGAGAAATACTCGGTTTCGGGATACTGTGATGCGTGATTGGCAGCCAATGACGGTTGGGATGCTATGAG